GAATGATGTCCTTTCTGTGTCTTTACAACATTTTTGCTCTACATTTGTGTCTCTGGGTCCACATGTCCCCTTTTTATGAGACCCTCAGTCAAATCGGATTAGGATCCACCCTAATAACCTCATTTAACTTGTCTACCTTGGTAAAGTGTCTATACTAAATAAAGTCACTTTCTGAGGTCCTTGGGGTTAGGATTTAAACACGTGGATTTTGAGGGGACACAATTCAAACTATAAAACCAGCCTAAGCTCCTTTGGCAAGTGTTGGCCTCTCTTCTCATGCCTGGGAACCCAGGAGGTGGGTGAGCCTCTGAGCCAGGTCTTCAACCCAACAGAGCTGCCAAGGTAATTACCCGTAGTTACCAAACCAGCTCACATAAACTCAGAACTTCCTGGGGCTGCAGGCAATACAATGACCAACAAAACTCAGCCCCTGCCCTTTAGGAAATGTACAGGAGAGATAAGATGTTAACCAGATAATAAAATAAGGGCAGTGAAAGGTACAGAGAATAAAGCCATAGAAGAGGAAGTACCTTCCTGTGATTCAGAGATAAATGAAAGGTTCATGTAGATTCGCTTTGAAGAGTCATTCTGATCCCACTGATTCCAAAGGTGAAGGTGAGAAAGGCTAGGTATTCCAGGGGTAGAATTCCAGGGAAAGGTGGACATTCCAGGGAAGAATGGATTGCCTGCAAGTGGCTGGAAGCAGCTGGGGCCGGACAGGCTGGGAGAGCAGGACAGAGCCTAATGGTGGTGAGCTTTTCCTGCCAGGCCATGGGGCCAATGGAGAGCTTTGCAGCTGGACAACATAATGCAAATCATTAACTAGGGATACAAATCTGGTTGGTTGCAAGGGCCAGGAGGAGTCCAGATGGTGGAGTGGGGAAGGTGAAGACTTGCAGGAGGCTGGGGAAAGGCCTGAGTTAGGGCAGTTGTTATGGAAATGCAAAGGAAGGGACGGGATTGTGGAAGTGGGGAAACAGGAAAGAGGAGCCACAGGACTTGACACTTAGGTGTGGCAGAAAAAGAAAGAGAAGACCAAGAGGCTTCAGCTTTTCAAGTCTGGGCAATTTGGAGAGGGCAGATACCATCAAGAGCAGGAAACAGGGATGTCAGGGTGTGGCTGTTCTGTTCTATCCAGACACTCCCTGCCAGAGGGGAGAGGCTCCCCTTCCTCCCGCCTCCGCCTCCGTTTAATTGCCAAAAGCAGGAGTGGCCTCCCCTAACCCCTACGTCATTTCTTTTTTCCTCAGAAGCTGCATCTTAACCATTTAAAGGTACTCTGTTGTCTCAAGGGTGCACTTGATGTCATAATGAGGAAATGAGAAAAGGGAGAGACCTTAAAGCAATTTCAAAGAGACTAGGACAGATACTAACTAATATATATAAAATAGATAAACAACAAGCTTATACTGCAAAGCACAGGGAGCCATACTCAATATCTTGTAGTAACCTACGGGGAAGAAGACTATGAGAACAGATGTACGTATGTTCCTATGTGACTGAAGTATTGTGCTGTGCACCAGAAGCTGACACAACATTGTGAACTGACTGTACTTCAATAAAAATATGTTAAAAAAAAAAAGAAGAGTAGGAAGAAAGAAGAGATGGCAAAGGTGTGATACCTGACAACATCGTCTCAGTCACAGCTGGCTCAGCGTCCACAGAGAGCCTCTAGTGTTACGGAAACGACAGGCCAGCCAAGAAACAAGCACCACTCGGAGGGTTGGAGTACTCAGATGTATTACGCCAGCGGGCTCAGAGGGGCTTCTGCTCCAAAGCTCTGAGCACCTTCAAGATGTGCACATGAGGTTTTATAGGGTAAAGTACAAGCTTGGGGTTTTCGGCCAATAGGCATGGAACAACTGTAGCAGCATTATCATCACAAAATTGGAGGCGGGGAGGCAGCAAACCAACATTCCAAAGCCAGATATGTATCTCTGAAAATCCAGTTGGCTAGCAAAAAAACATAAACAGCAAACCAACACGAATTAACTTAGATTTACAAGTTAGTCCAGCAGAACTCAGATCGGTATTCCAATACTTAGACTTCTTAGCCCAGCCCAGCCTCTCCTTTACATTCCTAGACCTGTGAGTTATCTTGTTAGACCAGCCCAGCTTTTCCTTCACACTAGCACCGGCATCCCTCTTTGGGGGCAAAATGGTCCCTAGCCCTGGGTTTGCTCCCTCTGAGATGCACGACAGAACTTTTGTCTCCTTATGATAGTGTCTCATCGCCTATGTGTACAGGTTCCAGAGTGTGCTGGTGTGTGTGTGTGTGTGCGTGCACACATGCGTGTGATTCCCCACTTGGCATCTCTTCGTCCCTACCCCATCTAAGCCTTCTCTCACTGGGGAGCATCACGCCCCCGCTAGCCAGTTCCAGGGCAGAAGCTCTAGTGTGGGCAGGGAGGTGCCAACAGTGTAACTGAGAAATCACCGGCCGCTAGTAAAATAAAGATGCTGGAAACAAGATCTCGCTAAAGCCACCTTTTTTGCCTCAGCTGTGATCTGTTATCTCTGAGGGCTAAGACGGGAAGCCGAAAGTAAAAGATGAGGCAGGGGCCCTACCACACCTGTTTCTGGACAGGGCTCATGCAGTAAAACATGTGGAAACGTCCTGGGGCTGAGCGGGAGGGAACACAACGTAAGAAATGCCAAGTAGTCAGGTTGGAGTGGGACATGGAGTGGGGGCTGGGCAGGCGGGGGTGGTAGCCCAGTCTAAGAGGCTGGGGTGTCACCTCCTCTGGTCCCAGCATCTGCCACGTCATAAAATAATTTAAATTCCATCAGAAGTGGTCCAAATGCACTGCGGTGGAGGATTGGCTTAAACCATTACATTTTATTTATGTAATAAAACACATTGCACCCCTTCTAGGAGTGGTAGAAGTGGCTGTACTGATGTAGAAAGACATTTATGATCTATTGTTGAGGACATATACAGTAGTAGCTAGTTTTTTTGTGTGTGAAAAACATATATACACTAAATATTGAAAGTGGTTATGTCCTAGTTGTATTATGGGTGAATTTTCTTTCTCTCTTTTTTTTCTTCAGTGAACATATACTACTTGTGAAATTTTAAAATGAATACAATTACTTAATAATTATTTAAAATTATTGAACATATGCCCTCAGCAATTTTTTTTTGGTGTTTAACTGGAGAGTAGCCTTAGATGAAGAGCATCTCTTAACTGCCCAAGGCAGCCGTGGTCCCTCCACCCCTCTCCCCACTGCTTTCCATCTCAAAGCTCCTGTCAGCAGGATGGCTTCTCTGAGCCCTGCTGGGAAGGATGAAGGGACGTGGGGGCGGTAAGCATCACTGCCTTCATTAGTAGAGGGAGGGGGTCTTAGGCAGGTTGAGTGACTCTTGCTTCGAAATCCCCAGTTAATCGGGTCCTGTAGGAAGTAAGGATTGGCCTTTCTTTCTCTCTCCTTCTGTTTTCCAGCTGCCAGCTGCTTCTCTCATGAATAGGTTTTTTTCTGGTTTCAGTCCCATGACTTTGCTTTCCATGTGCTATTGTACCCAGGCCAGCTGGTTAGCAGGACTGGTTTTTAGGGTTATAGAGTCTTCAGGTCACACTGGGGTTAAGTGCCATGGGAAAGGCAAAAACAAAGTTAGAAGGTCACCAGGAAACCAGGGGGCCAGGGCCAGAGTGAAAGGAGGTGGGCCCCCCTGGACTGCATGACTAGAGGGCCCAAGGGAGTGTCCAGTAAGTGGGCCGGACACCGTCGGGGACTTGAGGACAAGGTCCCTGCAGCAAAACTCTCAGGGCCAGAGGAACGCCCAGGTGTTCCCGGATAGCTGTGCAGGCTTTTGCCACGGCTTTGAAAGGTTAGAGTGGGTCATACCCACCCGCTCAGCCCTGCCTCGCCCTCAAGGGGTCCCACGGCTGCAGGTGAGGGGTGTCTTTTGTTCCCATAGTGCCTGCAGGGAGGAGAGCCCGGAACCGCTGTGCAGCTTTCGAAGCTGTTTGGTGGCAGGACTGCTTGTTCTTTGTGAGTTTTTACTACGACTCAGTACCTCTGTCAGTGTTCTCACATGGGGAGATCCCACCTGGAGAAAAGAGATGCCCCAAGAATACCCAGGCTCCCCAGGACCTCAGGCTGCAGCCTCTGAACGCTTCTTGGTTGCTCTGCTTTTTCTTCTAAGATCAAAGAATTCTGACAGACCAATTCTGGGGGGTACCCACTCTGCCTGTGACCCTGGGCTACTTAATTTCTCTGAGCCTCAGTTTCTTCACGTGTGAAGAGAAATACTAATAGTATATGCTTTGGAGTTGTTGTGAAATAATGAACAGAAAGAATTTAGGGGACAGTGCTGGAAGCATACCAAACAGGGATGGACTGGAAAAGCTTGTAGCAACTAGTAAAGGCAGAGATGGCTGTTCTTACCAGAATGGAGGGCAAGGTTGCTGAAGCAGACTCTGGAACACCTTCTGGTGCCGGGCATTAACTCATTCAATGCAGCACTGTGGAGAGTTTCTGGAGATGAGCTGGGGTGATGAGAGAGGTAATGATATTTATCTACAAGTGTGAATTACTTCAATATTTTAACAGTCGAGTATGGCAGTACACCACTTGAATATCAATTGTAATTCTAAATGTTAAATATTAATTATTCATTAGAATAAATAAATATTAGCTACAGGGCTTTTAAAGCTAGATTTTCTCTTCCGCAACACACACATGCAGGCATGTATACACACACACACACACACACACACACACACACAGACACACAGACACACACACATACATACGGCTTCTTCATTTTTAAGACAGAAAACCCAGAGAAGCAGAGGACCACACGTGTCAGACTTGGGTCGCAGCTGTTCAGATGCGCAGTCCCTGGGGTGGAGAGAGTGCACCACCAGCCTGCCCTGGGCAGCTACCTTCTATGAGTCTCGCAGTCATGCTCTGCCCACTGTGGATTCTGCAGTGTCGGGGAGAGGGCTGGCGTGGGGATACGGGAAAAGCTCCCCGGGGCTTTGGGGGCAAATCAAGGAGTTCTCTATTAGTTTGCCAGGACTGCCTTCACACAGTACCACAGACGAGGTGGCTTTAACAACAGGAGTTTATTTTCTCATGGTTCTGGAGGCCAAAAGTTCCAGATCAAGGTGCCCATAGGGTTGGTTCCTTCTGAGGGATCTGTTTCAGGCCATTGTCTGGCAGATGGCTGTCTTATCCCTGCATCTTCGTAACATCTTCCCTGTGTGTGTCTGTGTCCAAATTTTCTCCTCTTACAAGGATGCCAGTAATATGGGATGAGGGCCCTTCTTAACGACCTCATCTTAGAGCCTATCACCAAATATGGTTACATTATGAAGTACTGGGCATTGACTTCAAAAATAATGAATTTGAGGGGAGCCATAGTTCAGTTCATAAGAGGTTCATTCCTCCCAGCCTGGGGTGGTCTGTCAGCTTTTCTCACTGGTGCATGTAGGGCACATGCCCCTCTGAGATCTCTCTCCAAGTCTTTTTTTTTTCTCATTTTTTATGGTAAAAATATTCAAACACATAGTAGAATATATACTGACCCATGTATCCCTCACTAAATTCAATACGGGTTAACATTTTGTCAAATATCATTCATTTGTGTGTGTGTGAATTAAAAACAAAATTTGTTTGGAACCATTTCAAAGTTACCTTTAAATACTTCAGTATATGTCTCTAAAAAGAAATAACAAATAAAAAGACAGTCTTTTACACAGCCACCATACCATTACCCTATCTAACAATACTTCCCTGTATCATCTAATAAATAACCAGTCTGTATTCATGATTCTTAGACTATCACCAAAATGTCCTACCATGATTTTCTTTACCAACCAAGATTCATGCATCGGAAATGGTTCTGTCTCTTCAGGATCTTGTCTCTTTTCATTTTAAACATTCCCGCCACCCTCACCTTTTCCGTTCTCAGTGCTGACTTTTTGAAGACATTAAGGCACAGTGAAGTGTTGCACTTTCTGGTGCTGTCTGATCATCTCCCTTGAGGTAGTGTTTTATTTCAGGTCGTTATGATAAAGGGCTACACGAAAACCACTTATTTACTGTACAACAGTTGTTGAGGACAGTGCCTGGCATGACTCCAGCTCCTTGTGTGTGTTCTTCTGTATGAGAAATTTTCACCAGATTTAGGGCCAGGAAAGAGCTGTGTCTCCAACAAATGGTATTTTATTTATTTTTTTCTGATGGGAGCTAGAAGATTGCCTCTCTTTTTATTCAAGAATCACAGAGGGAAATGTACAACTCTGGTACGTTGTAAGGTTATCGTATCTCCTTCTCCTTTTTCCCTCAATCCTGTGTTCTAGTTTGTTAAGTCTTAAAGTCCACTATATGTCTTTCATTATAAATTCTCTTCAAATTCTTTTTTGTTTGTTTGCTTTAAGATCAGGATATTAATAAATCCAGCTGATTCCTCCAAGGCCTTTCCTCACCTCCAAGTTAAGAGATGAAGAACTTGCCCAAAGGTACTTCATAGCCAGTTCCTCTCAGGGAAGCAGAGAATTGCACAATACTTCCCAAGAGCAAGCCTCGTCCTGACACAGAGTGCTCTTCAAGGTAGTTATGACTTAACGTGGACCCTATCTTCTGACAGTGAACAGGATGTCTGCTCCACTTGCTAATTTCTTAAGGGGATCCTGGCTCTCCCAGAGTGACTTCTGGCCCATAGGTACCTGCCAACATTCAATTGTTCACTAAGTTCTGTGCCAGGAGTGGAGAGACATCTAAGAAAGCAGTTATGGCTTCTGAACTATAGGATTTAGGATTTATGGCTCTTTTATATTTCCTTGAGATCACAATAGCTCTTGATATTCAAGGACTTAAACACACCCATCTCAAGGGGCTATTAATCTCAGTGGAAACTTAAGAACCTGAAAGATAAATATCATGAGGTCTGGTTTTAGTGACTGCTTATTAAGTACTCCTTATGCGCTGGGAACACAAGTGTGCTGTCTTATTTAATCCTCACAACAATTCTGCAATATAAACATGCGTGTCCACATTTTCTAGAACAGAAATCAGAGGTTCAGAGGTGCTAAGTAACTTGCCGGAGTAAGTGGTAAAACTAGGATTTAAACCTACTTCTGTCTCCTAAACACATTTTTTTTCCACATTATACCATGTTGTCTGAGTTTTGCTCTTTGCACAGAACACTAGAGAAAAATACTGCTGCTAGACTTAGAGTAAGGTGAAAGGGAACTATTTTTTAATGCCTTTGACTTCCTCCAATACACGCAGGGCAGGACTGTTCCAGGATGCGAGCTAGGTTAATTCTGTATTTTTTTTTTCTTGGCCCCAGGCTGGAAGAGGCTTCTGACCACCTGAGCAGCCAGTGGCACCTGACAGCACTTTCAGCCGCAGGCACACCGTCTGATCACACAGGCTTCCCGCAGAAGCCCCACCCACGGCCTGCTCCCCTCTATGCTGGCAGAACGGAAGCATCCGCATCCCAGACCGCGAGGCCTGCGGCCCACCAAGAACTCAATAGAGCATCCATGGTGGAAGAGCGATTGTGACCTGAATACGTGTGTAGGCAGAGCAGCGGCCCCCGCACCCTCGATTATCTGTGCTAAAGGCAGGACCTTGGGACTGGGTGTGATGCCCTCCATCATCTGCACTGGGAGGGGATTTATTTGGCTCTGGAAGTGTGAGGTCAAGAAGTGTTGACTTAGGGCCCCTCCCGGGCTTCAGGGAATCCCTGAAATTCTATGCAAACTTTGTATTTGTGTATAGATACACATTTTCCTGGAGGAGGGGCCTCAGTTGTCAGATATTCAGAGGGATATGTAACCTCCAAAGGTTAGGAATCATTACTTTGGGACTGAGTCAGATAATGTTTTGTTGATTTAATATTAACTGGAGCTCATTTAAAATTAGTTTAACTTTCTATTCGGTTGTCTTGGGATTTGGCTAAGTGGTGGGAAAATGTTAAGTAGAGTGAAAAATGTGTCATTGATTAACCAGTGGGAGTTTAATCCAGCAGTTAAGAGCCCAGGGTCTGCAGTGGGACTGCTGGGGTTCAAGGTCCAGCTCTGCTGTTCTCTAGCTGCATGGTCTTGGGGTAAGTAATTTAAACACTCTGAGCTTCAGTTTCGTCCTTCAATTTCGTCGTAGAATGGGTTGGTAACTACAGCTCTACCTCCTGGTGTTACGTGAGGGTTATGCAAGGAAATAAACACAAAGTCTTTGGCACTACCTGAGGTTAGCCATTGTTATTATTTGTTCTATTATTTCTTATTTTACAGAGTGGAGATGTTACTGTTGGCAAGGCTGTCCTTTGAGCTCTCCCACATGCTCAGAACAGGCCGGGTCCTCCCACAGCATCCCTCTTTTCTCCTCCCAGATCATTTAACGCTGGCTTGGTCCTGAGGGCCAATTCAAGAACCACTTTCTCAATATCTCCCAGCACATGCCCTATTCCAGCCTGGTTTACCCTTTCTTCTTTTTAAAAAAATATTAAAAAAATTAAAGTATAGTTGATGTATAATGTTATATAAGTTACAGGTGTATTATATAGTGATTCACAATTTTTAAAGGTTATACTCTATTTATAGATATTATAAAATATTGGCTGTATATTTCCTATGCTGTGGGATATATTCTTCTAGCTCATTTTATACCTAATAGTTTGTGCTTCTTCCTCTCCTACCCCTATATTGCCCCTTCCCCCTCTCTTTCCCACCTAGTGACCACTAGTTTGTTCTCTTTTTCAGTTATCTTCACTAGTTTGTTGTATTTTTCAGATTTCACATGTAAATGATATCATACAGTATTTGTCTTTCTCTGTCTGGCTTATTTCACTTAGCATAATGCCCTCCAAGTCCTTCTATGTTGCTGTAAATGGCAAAACTTCATTCTTTTTTATGGCTGAGTAGTATTCTGTTGTGTGTGTATACACACACATGTACATATATATACATATGCATACATATACATACATACATACACACATATATATATGCCACATCTTATCCATGCGTCTGTTGATGGACACTTAGGTTGCTTTCATATCTTGGCAATTGTAAATAATGCTGATATGAATATTGAGGTTCATGTATCTTTTCAAATTCATGTTGTTTTTTTTTCGGATATATACCCAAGAGTGGGATTGCTGGGTCATATGGTAGTTCTGTGTTCAGTGTTTTAAGGAACCTCCATACTGTTTTCCGCAGTGGCTGCACCGGTTTACTTTCCCACCAACAGTGTATGAGGGTTCCCTTTTCTCCACATGCTTGCCAACATTTGTTATTGATGTTCTTTTTGCTGACAGCCATTCTGACAGGTGTGAGGTGATACCTCATTGTGGTTTTGGTGTCTCTTTCTTCTTAATAGCCTGTAACCTCCACATAAACAGACACCTGCACATGGGAGATATATCTTTATAAGAAATTGAGTGTTCCTTCTTATATTAGGCACTATGTCTACCTACCTATCCATCTATCTATCTCCTCATTTAGGCCTTACAACAACCTTAGTTCAATTTTACAGAAGAGAAAATTGAGGCACAGACAGGTAAGTGATTTTTCCTAAATCCACAAGCTGTAAACAGCAAATCTGAGATTGCTCCAGATACATATATAGCTTAAAGCCAGTGGAGCTTGCTGTGTTATGTAGTCACTTACTTCCTTGTAACTTCACTTGTAGTGCTGTCTTATGGTATTTAAATTTTTCATGTTATTTTATCCTCAGAAGGCTGTAAATTCCTTGAAGACAGAGATGATTCCTTAGACTATTTTTCATACCTCATGGTACCTAGGACAATATCTTGGGCTTAATGGGTACTCTATAAACACTTGTCTATGGATTACTAAATGATAAAATGTATATGGGAAACAGGTGAAATATGTTGTGTATTTAGTTTAATAATTTAAGTACTTTCTTGTACTATAAGCAGATAGGCTTTTTTTTTTAAAGAATCATTTCTGTAAAACAGAATTTAAAAGTACATGTTATTATTAATGCTACAATTTTTCTAATGTGCCTATAAAAAGAATAAAAACAAAGCTGAAGTAACAGTACAGGAGGTCTGTGCCTGAAATTTAAATTTAAATTTCATTGCCTGGTGTGAAATAAGGGATTATTCTTTTTATTACCACTACAGTGCTGGTTGTACAATGATCACCTCTTATTATCACAGAGCAATTTGCTCTGAGGGGATTCTTAACTCTAGCTTTAGAAACACTGAGGAGGAAGAAGAGGAATGTTCCCTGTTCTAACTTCTTTCCTTTGACCTTTACTCAGCCTTTAGAATAAATATTATCCCCATTTTTGCTTATGAAGAACCTGAGGCTCAGAGAGGTCACGCTATTTACACAGGGCGTGGTGGAACCAGAATTTAAAGGCAGTGTGGTATAACTGAATCACCGTGCTGAACACCAGAGACTAACACAACATTGTAAATTGACTGTACTTCAGTAAACACATACACACACACAAAGTAAATTACAGGTACACTTCACCCCTAAATACTTCAGCGTGTATATAATTATTTTGTTTGTATTTTGGGGTAGGATTTACATACAATAAAATCCTAAGTGCAAATCACCCCCGCCAAACAGCAACAACAAAATAATGGCAGTGTGCCTGTCTCCAAAGCTGCAGCTCTTCTACTATATGATACTGTTGCTGTGTAACAAATGACCCCTAAAGGTAGCAGTTGAAAGCAATAAACATTTGTTACCTTAAGTGGTTTCTGAGGGTCAGGAGTCAAGGAGGAGCTTAGCTGAGGTCTCAAGGCTCAACTGACACTGGAGAAGCGTCTTCTAAGCTCACTCACATGGCTGTTGGCAGATTTCAGTTCCCTGCTAGCTGTTGGCTAGATGTCTCAGTTCCTTGCTTGTGGGCTTTTGAGAGCCTGCCTGAATGTCCTCACAACATGGCCGCTGGCTTCTGTGAGTGATGAGAGGGAGAGCTCAAAACAGAAGTTATAGTATTCTAAAACCAAATATTGGAAATGGCTTATTATCTCTTCTGCTGTATGCTGTTGCTCACACAGACCAACCCTGGTAGAGTGTGACGACAGCCCTGGGAGAGGACATTACACAAAGGTGTGGCTACTAGGAGGCGCAGATCACTGGGATCACTGGGGCCGTCTTGGAGGCTGGCTACCACAATAACCTGGGCTGATTTTAAGGGTCAGCTGGACAAGATCCAAGTGGTGGCACCTTCCTCTGCCAAGTGCACTGGCCATTTTGTGGGGACTCGGGCTGATTCTCTGGGGGCACATGACACCCTTGATGTCTACTCTGGGCTGTGTGTGGACTTCATACTGTCTGGCCTGACATAATATTTCTATACAGTCTGCTCCTGAAGCTCCAGCCCTGAGTACAGAAGGAACAGAGGACCCAATGTTCCTGTAATAAGAAATTTTTTTTTCTCTAAGAACTTACGCATATTCATAAACAGACCTGAAACTTGAACTTCCAGTGTATACTTGTAGATAAGGCAATATAACCTCTAGCAGGAAGATCAGTTTGGGGGTTAAGGGCTTGGACACTGGGGTCAGAGTCCCTGTGCTGCCACTTACAAGGTGTTTGCCATTGGAAAGTTACTTCTCTGAGCCCTAGTTCCCTGAGCTGTAAAACAGGTCTAATAATATCTACCTCATCTGTTGCTGTCTGTTCATTTGTTTGCTTGTTTTGGGTGGGGAGACGATTAACTGAGATAAAGCACAATGTGGCAAATTGTATTTTCCAAAGATGGTGATATCAATATATATGGATACAGATCACATCCTAAATGCTCTTTTTACTTTGCGTCAGGAAAGGTGGGGCCCACGTTCCCTCCTGATGGGAGGAATTGAGGCAGATTCTTGTAACACACCAACCAGTGGAATGTGGCCAGAGCAATGCTGTGTGATTTCCAGGGCTAGATCATAAAAGGCAGTAAGGTTTCCACTGGCTCTCTGTCTCGGGAGTCTTGCACTTTGATCCTCACCACCATGTGGACCACTGTGTGATCCAGGTCACATCGTGAGGCCACATGTTAAGTGTTCTAGCTGCCCTTGGTCAACAGCCAGCATCAACCATCAGACACATAAATGAACAAGACTTCAGATGATACCAGGCTCCAGCCTTCAAGTTTTCTAGCTAAGGTCCCAGGCATCATGGAGCAGGGATAAGCAATCCCTACTGTGCCCTCTTTGAGTTCCTGACGCACAGAAAGAACAACAGATAATATATGATTATTGTTCTAAGCACAAAGTTTTGGGGTGACTTGTTACGCACTAATAGATAATACAACAATCCTGTCAGTACAGTATCTGAAAACAGTATCTGAAAATACGTGATTAATAAATTCTGGGTTATACATTTGAAAAACAATGTGTCTCATTATAAGATATTTTCGAAGAGCTGGGCCCAAACTCTGTTTTCTTCTAAGCCCAAGCATTTTTGATGGGGTTTTGGGGAAGGGACTTTTTGATTTTGCTTTTCTCTGGCCCCTTTCACATGTAAGATTACTTACCTGAGGATAAAGCATAGAAGAGCAGGCGTTTAGGTCTCCATCTCTGACTTGTCCCGTGGACGTCTAGTCCAGTGAGGGGGCTGGGAGCCACAGCTGTTTCTGGAACTGGCTTACTTTTGGTTCACTGGTTCAGTTAAGCTGTTTCTGCCGTTAATCAATAGGCATCGAGGTTGTCCACGTTTAGTCCTTGATCTACCCACAAATGAAAATTAGAATCATGTACGTTTTTCTGACATTTCCCTTCTTTTGAAAGCATAACTTAGACTTACCAGGCCCAGACAGCCACATGGGAGAAGCAGGGCCCTGGCTGGAGTTTAAGAGCCACTGTCCCACAAGCCCTGACAGCTTTCCAGGATCCCAGGGACTTGTCTCTCTGTCCTCCCTCCAAGTGTCAGAAGGTCATACAAAAAGGTGTCTGTGTGTGTGCGTTTGTGAGTGCAAGGCTGTTGGCTTCCTTTGAGGTCCTGGTGTCCCTTGGCTGGGATCCCTGTGCCTGCTGGGGCCCCAGGGCTGCTTAGCCAGCATTTGTAGGTAATGAGGGTAAAGAGTGGGGAAGAGGAATGTGTGGGGAAGAGGAATGTCTGGGGAAGAGGAACGTGTGGGGACGAGGAACGTGTGGCCAAGGCTCTGGCCCTGCCTATTTTGTTGTTGTTGTTGTTGTAGTAAAATATATATAACATAAAATGTATATTTTTACCATTTTGTGGGGGCTATAGTCACTAGTTTGTTGTATTTTTTAGGTTCCACATATAAGTGATATCATACAGTCTTTATTTTTATCTGTCTGACTTATTTCCCTTAGCATAATACCCTTGAAGTTCATCCATGTTGCTGCAAATGGCAAAATTTTGTTCTTTTTTATGGCTGAGTAGTATTCCATTGTATACATATATTTCACATTTTCTTTAACCATTCACCTGTTGATGGACACTTAGGTGGCTTCTGTATCATGTTAGTTGTAAATAATGCTGCTATGAACATTGAGGTGCATGTATCTTTTCAAATTAGTGTTTTGGGTTTTTTTTTTTTTTGATATATATATACCCAGGAGTGGAATTGTTGGGTCATATAGTAGCTCTATTTTCAGTTTTTTGAGAAATCTCCACACTGTTTTCCACAGTCCATTTTAACCATTTTAAAGTGTACAATTCAGCAGCATTAAGTACATTCACATTGTTGTGCAACCATCACCACTACTGCATGTGCAGAGCTTTTTCATCACCCCAAACTGAAACTCTGTATCCAGAAAACAATAACTCCCTTTTCCCCACTTCCTCCAGCCCCTGGTAATCACCATCCTACTTTCTGTCTCTGTGAATCTGACTATTCTAGGTACCTTACATATTTTGGAATCAGATAATATTTATCCTTTTGAGTCTGACTTATTCCACTTAGCATAATCTTTCCAAGGTCATCCATGTTGTAGCAATGTATCAGAATTTCATTCCTTATTAAGGCTGAAAACTATTCCACTGATGTATATATATATATATATCATATTTTATTTATTCATGCATTTGCTGATGACTGTTTGGATTATTTCCACCTTTTAGCTTTTGTGAACAATACTGTATTGAGCATTGGTGTAAAAAATTTGTTTGAGCCTCTGTTTTCTATTCTTTTAGGTATTTACCTAGAATTGCTGGAGCATATGGTAATTCTAGTGTCTAGAGACCTGACTTGGGTCCTCATCGCGCCCAAAGATCTGTTTGCTAATAGGATGGAACGGGGGCTGTTCTGCTATCTTGGCATCCTGAGGGGCTATGCAAATTAGGCTGACTGTGATCTACCAATATAATGGTACCTTGCGCTTCCATTGAGCATTTAGTTTGTGCTAGTTCCTGTGCTAGGTACAGTGTCTCTGCATGACTCTGTGAAGTAGATTTGACTAGTATCCCTCTTTAATAGATTAGAAAACTGAGGCATGGAGGTGCTTCATAACTCTCCAAGGGCACAGAGATTGTTCTGAGCTAGGATCTGAACCAGACAGCATCATGCTAGCTCCTGTGTGTTTACCTGTACACAATCCTACCTCTCCAAACAGAATGACCATTAAATTAGTCAGCCAGATTGAATTTATTTACCTAGGAGAAATCAATAGCTTATGTGGGATAATTATGGTAAAAATCAGGTAATTAAAAAAGCTAATGTAAGAAGCATCAGTGGTTTAAGAGGACCCCTTTCTAAATCTGTTAAAATATTTTTCTTAGCCTGCAAGGTATATGAGGAGCCTTGTGTATTGCATAGCGTTGCTAGTATGTGTATGTTGCTAGTCTCTGTTTGCAAGCGTAAATCCTCTATTCTACAATGTTTTAAGGGTAACCCAGCAGACCTACCGAAACACACTCGAAGGTATTGAAATTTGCAATGAAATGTATCACTAGATGGCAGTACAAATCAATTTTTAAAAACCCAGCTGCTTTCTAAGTCTGTATAGTAAATTAAGCTCTTGTAAGCCACTTTTTGACATGATCAGGGCAACTGTATTTAATTCAAAATGGGTTTTAATCACCTAGAAGATAATTCACAAGCTTTTAAAAGTTTAAAGACCTGAAAAGCATAAAGGCTTTTGTAAGGAAAACTTCTAAAATTTTAGAAATTCCTGCTTTGGAGGAAGACAGTTTTAAGTAAGTGTTTTGACTTGGGAAACTGCATCAGTAAGGTAATATCATATCCACATACTTCTAGAATCCTTTCAGTCCACCATCTTGGTTTGGATAAGAATCAGCCTTTAGTCTATAATTGAAATATAGTTGTCAAATTACTCCTTGGGGAAGTTCCTTTCAGTTAATGCCAGAGAAAAAGCCAGTATTTAAGTAATTTAGGAAGCCAGAAATGACCCACAGGTTGGTTTGACATCTGAGCCGCTGGGTCTATTGATCTGTGGTTGAGATAATGAAGTAGATTTCACCCATTAGCAGCGGATTCCCAGCTTTTTATGTGGGGGTGAGTGGCAGGCAGTGAGAGGTGAGGCAAATGCATTTGCTCATCTAATTTACCAAGGTTTGGCTCCCATAGGATGAATTTTAATGATCTGGTATCCTGTCTAGGAGAAAGAATTAACTTTTTATTTCAGGGAAGGCCTGGACTCAAAATGGAAAACTAAAGTAGAAATGGATTCTTTCTTTTTTCTCTCTCTATCATATGCAAATAAGAGGCTCTTCTAGAAGGTTCACAGGAAACCAGCATCAAAGAAATGGAATCCAGCTAATTCCTCCAAGAAACTGAAGTTTCAGAACATGCCTTTTGAAAGGGAAACACAGGCTGACTCTGCCCATAGACCACCAAGAGCCAAAGTGTATCTGAAAGGCATTATCAAAGCATGGAGTGAGAACATCCATGGTCAAGACCATCCTCTGTGACCTTATGGGCAAATCATTTAGCCTCTCTGAGCCTCAGATTCCTCAACTGTTAAATGGGCATAATAATACCTTACAGGGGTCCTGGGGGAGCTAATGTGATAAGGGATGTGAAAGCACTTGTAAGCAATACGGCGCCATCCACATACTGGCTATTGCTCCTTTTAACATGTTAGCCCTCCCAACCCTGTGGTCACCCCCCCCACACACACACAAATGTAGACTGGAAACGCCAGCATCGTCTTTGTTCTCTAATGCCCCACATCCATCAGTCTTCACCTCTTAGTCTCCATTTCCACAACTGGAAGAGCCTTCTACGTGGACTTTCTGCTTCTCACTGACTTTGCTTGACTCCATGCTGCTCACTGCTGAAGCAATAATCCTATTTAAAACTCACTTTGATTATATCTTTCCTCTGTTCAAAAATTTTCCATAGTTCCCTATTGCCTGCAGAATAAAGTCCAAACTTCAAAGTAGCTGGAATTAAAAGACATTGACAATCTGATCCTCCTACCTAAATAACTTCAATGGGAGGGCCACACAGAAATCAAAATGTCAGTGTTACTGCTGAGAAATGCTACGCTGGAGGATCGGTTACGCAGTCACAAGGGTTTGCTATCAATTTTTTCTTCCTGCTCCTTCAGTCTTGACTTTGAGAAAGTCCATCTGAGGCTTGCCTTCCACTCTGGGGTCATGTTAAGGGAATCTTACCCAACTCTCTATCTATTCTAGCCTCCCCAATATTCCTGCACTCACTCACCTGTCCTGTAGTGTGCTTTGCCGTGGATTCAGTTTACTTTTTGAGAGCACGCCCGTTTTTGGATGAGAGCATGTCCTTTTGATGAAAGCCAGAAACTCAAAACCTATTGGCTGAACCTGACTCCTAGATGTGTTTTTGACCCTCACAGTGTCTGCACTGTGTTTAACTATATACCAATTTCCCAAGTAGTTAACGGGGAAGAACTGTGAAGGGTCTGAGATTTTATCTTACTTGCACACGAAGAAGCTAGCCTGCCACAGTCTCATGGATGCTGGCAGAACACAGTAGACTCCTGGGTCACAGACAAAGGACAGGATTTATTACTCCCAGCCCAGCAAGCAGCATGCTGGTGTTGGTTCCCCTGCCATGTTCCCAGACAGAGGGCTGTGAGGAGAGGGCTGGGTGGGACCTGCAGTGCAGTGGGTTATGTTACCAGAGAGGACACTGAACTTAGGGAACCTGAACCTTTTATAACGGGCAATGAGTCAGCCTCAACTTTGCCCCAGAGGGAGACATTATCTTCTTAGAGAACAATAAACAAACCTACTCTTTGCTCTGGAGGGAGACCCTGTCTCCATCCTCCCAGGCTGTTTGCTACACAAAGAGTCTTGAAAAGATAGCCTGGAATAAAGGCAGTCAGTGTCTCTTGCAAGATGTGCAGAAACACAAGAGGCTCATGTAGAACTGTCTCTCCACAACAACCAATTCGGGGAGAATCAGATCTTAATGATACTGAGTTTTCCTATCAGTGAATATAGTATATCCTTACATTTTAAAAGATTTTGTTTCAAGTCTTTCACTGAAGTTTTATAATTTGCTCCATAAAGGTTTATACATATTTTGCTAAATGTATTCCTGGGAATCATTATTTTAGTTAATACTTTTTAAAAATTATATATTCTAATTGCTTGCTGCCTGATAGAGAAATACAACTTAAAAAAAACTTTTTAAAACTTCCAAATTGTAAAGTAAGTCATAGAAACAGAAAACAAAATGAAGCAAATGCAGAGCTTAGTGAGAAACTAGTATGGTGGATACCCTGTAGCCACAACCCGGGTCAAGAAACAGAACTTTTCTAGTCATCTCAGGAGTCCCTCCACATGCTCCCTGCAGTTCCCAGCCCCTCTCTTCCTCCACAACAATCACTGTCCTGACTTCCATAGCAATCTCTCCCTTGCACTTCTTTATGCTGTAATTTAGTCTTGCCTATTTTTTTTAAAAAACACCTTGTCATGTCTTTTAAGTCTCTTTTAATCTACAGATTCTCCCTCCCTCCTTTCGTTTCCTTACACTTTATCTGTTGTAGAACTCAGTCTCTGACAGAGTTCTACAGTCTGGATTTTTGCTGACTCTTCCTCTTTTGCTTTTCCCTCTATCTAGAATTAGTGTGGGGTCACAATTCTTGATAGGCTACTTTTGTTTACCAGCATGAATATTCTTCCTGGGCCACCCCTGTCAAGGGTAGTGGCCATCTTCAAGTGTCCTGGTTTAGGGCGAGATTTGCACATTTAGCCCGTCTACTCCAGTGGCCCAAGGCTCCCCAGCCCTACTCTGATGTAGGCACCTGCCTTCAGACAGTCCCAGCTTTTGCACTTGCTTACATGTCACGGTCAGCTTTCCGTTTACTCTTCTTTCTCGTTTTTATGCCTTTGGGATTTCTCTTACTACCTTGCAAGCTAAGCTGCGTATTAAAAACAAGCTCACTGTGATTTGTCCAAGACCTGGTAGTATTGTGTAAGGAAGGCTTTTTAGTGTCTCTAGTTCACACTGTCAGAAGCAGAAGCCAGGAATAATCTTTTAAACATTGTGGAACAGTTTCCATCACTCTCGGCCCTCTCAGCCACCTCGCTGCTCCTCCAGTTAGTCACCTTATTCCTGCCTGGTGCCCTCACACTAGTGGCTCCCCTGTGTAGAATGTTCCTCCCCCTTCCTTCCCACGGTCGGCACGTTCTTATCATTCAGGTCTCACTTTAAATGCCACCTTTTCACAGCAGCCTTCCTTGATCAGCCTCCTTGCTTCTGCACCACATCACCGTGTTTCGATTCTCTCTAGGGCACTGACTATTATTAGCTGACATTATCTCTTTTCCTACTAGAACAGGAGACCTGTAAGACCAGGGACTTTGTTTGTCCGGTTTGGAACAGTTGCTGGCGCACAGTCAGTACTCTGCACATCTCCTGAAGGACGAGCACTGAGCATTGGCGACGCCATCTCTTTAGACAGGACCCCTGCTCTCCAGGGCTCTGCGGTGCCCACTGCTTCCTGTTATCCTCCCAGCCCAGCTTGCTTTATCTCCCTGGCCCTGTAGGTGTTTGAGTTTTCAATCCCTGCTCATAAATGTTACTCTAAGTATCTTTGACATTTTGAGAACAGAGGCTGTTTTATGTTTCTTCTCCTTCTTCAATGTCTTGCACATAGAATGAGGGAAAGAGTGAAAGCTCATTGAACATCTCCTACCAGTCAAGCACCGTGGCAACACTACAATTTAGAGCCTCACAACACTATGAGGCCAGGTATTACTACTTGTGTTCATTTAACAGGTGAGGACACTGAGGCTTTGCACTGTTTAGAGTTACTTAGCACATGAAGGGTCTGGCTTTGGGACCTACCAAGACAACACACACTCGATACCAACTATTGCAAAAGGGCAGCTCCTGTCTGAGGAACAGGTAGCTGTTTCCAATACGCAAAAGTCAAGATGGAGCAATTAATTGGATATTAATGGTCTGGCTATTTACTTATCAGTTTCATTCCACTGAGTCCATGAAGATTTAGCTTGAGGTTTTCCTGTATTTGGCTAGAAGAGGCTTTGGAGATGTTAATTATGCCTTCCACATGACGGTCCTTCACATCTGATAAATGTCTGCTGTTGGCAAAATATTATGGAATCTGATAGCAAGCAGATTTCCCAAAGATAGTTATTTCATTCAAATCATCACCTGCCGTTGGATCACTGGACAAAGACGGATACCGAAGGTATGCCACACCACCAAGCAATCTTTTAAATAACAAAATCTTATTTTTATTTTTATTTTTTACAGAAATTCAGATATTCCAACAAATTTCTTTACAATTCCTGGACCTTAAAAAAATTACACACAACTTTTGGACGCAATACAACAGAACAGAATGAGAAAGGGAGTCACTTTTTTTTTTTTAAAAAAAGGTAAAAACGTACTTCTTACACTTAATTGACATTTAGTGATTTACATGTGTATTACCTATGTACAAATGGTACATGGTCAATGACCCCTCTTCAGAGCACTGTGTATGCTAAATCACACTTAGGTTTTATGGAGAAAACTTGTTAAAAACATTTGCATGTGGATGGGAAGCACTTTTTCACTTTCATAAACGCCGCTACTAGTCCTGTAGGACGCCCTGTGGAACCTGTAATTTACATGGATTAGAGAAAGCCAATACCTCTTCTAAAGTAGAGAGGTACCTCCCTTTAAATAAAAGATGAATTCTTGAAAAGTTGTGTGTAATTAAATTTAGTAAGTACAGTGTTTTGAAAGTAGTGGGAGAGCTATTATTTAAAGCAACAAATAACTCCCAGATGGCTAATACTTTATAGAGATAATAAGTATTCCCTTAATTGCGTGCTTGAGAAAATCCGTGTCTTTGTGAATTGGGTTGCACTTATTTGACAGTATCTTTAATATTCTTTTAGCCATTTGAAACATAATCTCATTTATGGTGAAAAAATGGCTAGTAGCAGAAACACTTGGCAAAACTGAGTGTGGTCCTAACAAAGACAGGGTAAGAGAAATCCACCGTAATCTGTACCACTTCTTGTATTATCCTGTGTGGTGTTCCAGTGATTGATGCTAACTGGATCTTAATTTTAAGTCTAAAAATGAAGGCATTCTACACGTACATGTTTTCTCCTCAGTTATAGAACATGGTTTGGCTTACACTGACTACCCCTGCACATACATTTTAGCTTCTGTTCATTTTCAAGGAATTGGCTTCTTTGATATTAAATGTTTTTGTGTTGTTGCAGATTGGCAGGATATGTGGTGAGGGTGACGGTGGGGGAAGCCTGGGAGCAAAAGATTGTTGAAGACAACTGATCATTTGTCACTACTTCCAAATGCCAATCAACTAAAAAAAATTGAGTGGTCTTAAAATCAACATTAGTCAACAAAAAGGCAACTTACTCCTACTAAGTTTCTTTGACCTGTGTAAGTATATATTCATTTATTTCTAAGGCTATTAAATTATTATTTATTTTGTTAGTACCACTTACTATCATTTAGAAATAGGTTTAATGGAATGATTTTTTTTTAAATAAAGATGAGTGCCTGTCAGTAAGGGAAAGAAAGGATATGGAAAGAAAGGACATGATGACATGTCAGCAAAGAAATAGGAAAAAAAAGATATTTTAGATGTCTATTTATAAAGTATATTGAATTCCTATGCATATACTAGGGAGAATTAGAAAAAGTGTTTGTTTGATAGTAGCCTATATATTACATGTGAGCATCCAAGGTGAAAATGAGCTTTCTATATTTTTTAGAGTTCCTTGATGCCGTTTCCTGAAAGATAGGGAAGTCTATGATGTGAAGATGTAATATACAGCTTGATGGAGTAATAGTATATGTCAGAAACACTTTCTCAGTAATAACTTGTACAGACAGATTAAACTGAACACAGACTTGGTAAAATGTTTGAAGCATTACATCTCTTAACTGAGTGGTTGTAACTAATTACACAGTGAAATAAATGAACAGCAGAGACAGGAACCAAAGGTCATGGCTCCTATGAAAATATTCAGAGGCATTTTCTAAGACGCTTTCTCAATCACTGATGCCTGATCAGCCTCTTGGCTATTGAGATAGGAATAATTTAGGATTGACTGCCTTTTTTAAAATAATGTTGCAAGATTAAAGCTTTTTATTTTCTGTTTGATTAAAAAAGGACAGTTTACAAACTTCAGTACATATATATTTTACATGTTCATTCTAACACATTTATATTCCTCTTCCTTAAAATACTTCCTGAATGTGATTTCTCATGAATGTTATCTGCCCTTATTCAATGATAGTTTCCAATGAGCTGGTGTTTAATCCATGATCACGTCTTCTTCCAGAAAATCATTCCCATCTCTGCCGATCTAGATTTAGAAGGTGCTTTGAAGTGGATACTTCAACTCTCTCCCATATCCATCTCGGTACTCTGATCTCTCCCAAGCGTCTTCTTTCTTGATGTTGATGTACAAAAGCTGTTACTCAATTTGTTTAGCTGTTATTTGATTTGTTTTGTGCTCATTCTAGAGAATATTGGCTTAGCAGAACTGCAGAACAGGATAGGGGAGTGGGAAAGAGAAAGAGAAAAGAGAGAAAGAACAAATGCATCATTTTCTGTCCGCAAGATTTTTGTGCGTATTTGTCATGGAAAAACCCCACCAACAAATGGTTCAAATGCACTTTAGACTTGCTTTCAAAAAGACTGAAAAGTTTGAGGTTTCCGGTCCATTGAACAAACAGCACAGTCTTCCTGGCAAGGGGGTCCCTTGAGAACCCAGATGTGCATGTTCCCTACATCTGGGTGAAGATTACAGGCGGCTTTGAAGGAGCAAGGAAGAATGAGAAATGATCTCAAGCATCACCAATTTTTCTGACTGGCATAGAAAATGTCTCGCTTGAGTGTTCACCTTTTCCTTCCAAGGTTTAGTTATTCAGTATCCAATCAACATTATAACAGCTACAAAAGTAATGGTTATAAAGATGAATCACCTCCAGTCCAATCACTGTGAGACACCAAAGTTTTTCTTCTCATGTTTCTTTCTATTCCTTATCTAAACGTGCACTTAATTTGGCATGGTTGGAATCACAGTCTAGATGACATTTTTAACATTGTATTAAAAGAAATTTCCTACATTTCCCCTCCTGGTAGCATCAGCATCAGTTCTGCATGACTGTGTAATATGCCATTCCAATCTCATTCCTTTCCATTCCATGCTCAATATTCCATTCTCAACTATTTTACCACCATCAGATGTGTAGGTAGGCTTCCGCTTCTTTTGTTATTATCAATAATGAATGTCTTTGCATATAAAACTCTGTTTTTAAAATTTCTTTCTTTAGGACAAATTCTCAGGGGATGCTGCTTTTTCTTTTCTCCAACATATTAGGGACTATGCCTGCACTGATATAGACCACAAATAGTATGATCGATTCCACGGTTTGGATGATTTTCATAGACTTTGGCACTGTTAACCAGGGCTTAGGGGTACCTTAAAGACTGCAGAGTTGGTCAGTGCACCGAGCTGGCAGATTTGGGCTGAAAGAAAACAGCCTGTTGGGTTTTACATCACAGAGCACGTAGAAACACAAAGTATAATAAAACGATTGCCCCATTATTCAGTTACAGTCCTTGTTCCACATCACAAGGTAAGATTATGGTTTCTGAGTAAGTGCTAGAGAAACCTCTGAAAGATTCTGTTGTTGCTTCCAGAATTTATCCCCTCGCTGTTGTCCAACATGCTTTAAGAACTCTTAATGCACATTATGATTTTTAACGCACTTCTCTTACTCTTTAATGTACCCAGACTACACAGGGGATAACTGAAATACAACCATGTCATAATGATGATTAGTCTGTAATGATCCTCTGAGCTTGAATCATGCTGGCAGAAACCCTCCAGAAGAGAATGCTTTCTTCAGATATTTTTAAAGGGAACATAAGCAAGCAACCTGTGGATTTTACAGTGTTAAAGGCACTTCTAAACCTTGAGTGCTCTCTCAGCTTCATGGTCATGGAGGTGCTCTTGCTAGATGGAATCCAAAGTTGGGTTTCTGGGTCCATGATGCCACGACTCCAGCATCATTTCATTTCACTCTGCATACTTTTCTATTTAAAATCCACAAAGCTGAATGTCTGGATTTTCCAGTAAGATCTGTACAAAGTGCTAGGTGGGGTGGGGAAGAGGGAAAATGGGTGGGGTTGTAAACATATGAAGGAGAATAGGGAAATGGGTGTTGAAAAGTGGCTGTGCATTTGGAAGAGAAGGTAGGACCCGGATGGGCCCAGGGCTATGCTTGTGTGATGTAGGGGAAGAGGGAGGCGAGAAGGTAGCCCCTGTTGTCTTGAGGTTTGCAAATGGAATATACCCCTGATTTCATAATAGGAAAATCTTGCTTGGTTGCAAAGTGTTTATTAGCATCTAGGAACCAGAGACTCCTACTTTCTCTTTTCTCCAGCTCTAAACTGCCGATTTGGCTTTATGACATCATGTTGGGTTGGGAAGACAGCAAATGGGTGGAAGGGCTTTAGATCAGCCCCCAGAGCTCTGACACCCAAGTCTGGGGAGAAGGGAGCTTCTGCAGGGTAGGAACCTTCCTGGGAAGATCCTGAGCACTCTTGTGGGAAGGGAACATCTGAGGCCAATCTCACAGGGTTTCCTGTTTATGCCTCACCATCTGGGTCCACAGCGGAGGGCGCTGACCAGGACAAGTCATCCACCACCAATCCTTCTTGGATCTGCTCTGGTCTTAGGTCAAAAGTAGACTCCACATAGCCAAACTCCTCATTGGATCTCTCACTGTCATCTCACCATTGATTGATTATTCAGCCCTTCTTTCTTAAAGCTCTCTTCTTTGTTGACTTTTGTCAACATTGGATTACACTCTCCACCCCTACTATAAACCTTGGTCGGGGAATGGAAAATGAGAGAGTGAAGCCAGTGAGCCAGTCCTGGACCAGAGTGAGGCCAGCAAGGCTCCTAGGGGACCAGACTGAAGGAGGCAATCACTCTTAGGGTTGTGCAAATACAGGGCGAGGGTCTCCTTAAATTTTGCACTCTAGGCCCCTCATTTGCCTCATTCTAGTCCCAGTCCTGCCTGTGAGCACAGGCTGCACCGTCACGAGGCCTCCTGGGAAGCTGGCTGGGCTGGGGTCGCCCAGACACCGCTCCTACCATGTAGGAGTGCATGATACCAACATGCAACAGGAACCCCAGGGCATGTGCAAATCCTGCAGACGCTGCTAGGCTAAAAGAACTAGCACATGTGTTCCATGGGTGAGCAGAACATCAACACTCCCCACGCAACACCAGGAAAACACTTTGGTGAAGGAATACAATTGGAATGCTACCTCGATTACTTAAATGGCCTGCAAGAAGAAGAATTTTCCACCTGAAGGCTCGGAAAGGGCTAGCCCTTCAAACAGATGTGTGAAGCCAGTAGGTGAAAGAGGATAAAGGGCAGGGTTTTCCTCCCCAGATGCTGTCACCACCCCTTCCATCTAATGATTGTGAGACACCAGGAACCTTTGCAGAATGGGGGGAGCATGAACACAGTTACACTGTGATCCTCACTTTGTAAAACATTCTGTTTTTTGCAAAACTTTTGCTAACATTTCCCATGCACCACGGATGTTGCATAGCTCAGGGAGGCAATTTAGAAGCTGTCATCTTCTCCTAGGTTTGTACAGAGCAAGACTGAATAAATAAGTCATTCAATGCTGCTTCGGATCTTTGTTCAGTCAGGTTTGTCCTTGTAACATGTCATGGGCTCTGAGTTGCCTGTGTTCCATTTCCAAAGGGCTCTTTGCAAAGCCTTTTGGAAGCTGTCATTTGAATCACTGCTCATGAGAGCAGCATTTATAACGGACACACTGTCCAGACTATCTCAATGCTGGGCGGCATTGAATTTTCTGTGTTTGCCGACTTTGAACGGTCTCCTGCAAGCTGCTTCTGGGGATTGTTCCTATCTGATCTGTTCCGTTGGGGCCTGGAGCCCCCACTGTCAGGAGGGCTGGGGGTGGGGGCAGGCAGTGTCTGCGTGAGAAGAATGCTTGGTGGGAGCGGTCAGGCTTTTGGCAGAAAGGATTGCTGTATCTTTGTTGTGAAAATGAGTAAGGAAGAAATTCCAGGCCATTTTTTTCTCATTGGTTTTTCAAACTTTGTCTTTTTCTCCCACTCTGTTGCTTCAAACTGTGCCCACCTCTAACATCTCTAGGAGGTTCAATAAAGTCTCCTGGAAATAACATCTCACCGCCTGTGCCCTCAGGCGCTCCAGACAGGTTCTGCCCCACAGTGGGTGTGGCAGGTTAAAGCTGGCAGCAGATTCTCTGCCTTTCCTCTCATTGAGAGATGGGTCTATGGTCCCCCCCACCCCAAATCTGGGCTTTAAGAGAATTGGCGGTTTACTTTTTAAAGTAGTTAAAAACACAAAATTTACCATCTCAACCATTTTTAAGTGTACAGTTCAGTAGTGTCCAGTATATTCACATCGTTGTGAAACAGACCTCCAGGACTTTTTCATCTTGTAAATCTGAAACTCCATACCCATTAAACAACATCCCCCTTTCCTTCTAACCCATCCCTGAGTAACCACCATGCTGCTTGCTATTTCTATGACTTTAATGTCTTTAGAGAGTGCCTTTAAGTAGAATCACACAGTATCTGTCTTTTTCCGACTGGTATATTTCACTTAGCATAACATCCTCAAGGTTCATCCACGTTGTAGCAGGTGACAGAATCTCTTTCTCTTTTAAGATAGAATACTACTCCATTACACACACACACACACACACACACATTTGGTTTATCCACTCCTCTACTGAGGGACATTTTGGTTGCTTCCACCTCTTGGGTATTGTCCACAGCACTGCTGGGACATGGGTGTGCAAATACCTCTTCAAGCCCCTGCTTTCAGTTCTTTTGGCTGTATACCCCAAAGTGGGACTGGATCATATGGTAGTTCTATTTTTAATTTTTTGAGGAACTGCCACCCTATTTTCTTCTTCTTTTTTTTTAACTTTTTTTTTATTGAATTACAATCATTTTACAATGTTGTGTCAAATTCCAGAGTGGAACACAATTTTTCAGTTATACATGAAATGGTCACCCTATTTTCTATTGCACTATTTTACAATCCCACCAACAAGGCACAAAGGTTACAATTTCTTCACATCTCTCAGATACTTGTCATTTTCTGCTTTTCTGAGAGTAGCTATCCTCATAGGTGTGAAGTGGTATCTCACTGTGGTTTTGATTTGCATTTCTCGGATGATTACTGATGCTGAGAATCTCAGAGTACCGGTAGTTTCTGATTCCCCTGCTGGAGTGACCACACTGGAGAGGCCTTGGTGGTAGGTGGGGAGGGAGAACAGTTCAGGTGAGCCCACCTTTCCAGCCAACTCTGTAAGGGGCCCTCAAGCCATCTTGGACCCTTTATAGAGCTGCTCTACCCGACAAATGCCACACAGTGACTCTAGTTGATGTTACATGGAGCAGAATTGCTCAGCTCAACTCTTCCCGAATTCCTGATCTGCACAGTTGTGAGATAT